TGGAGGAAGAAGCGACATCTGGTAGCAGGAGGAGCTGCTGGAACCCCTCCTCCTGGGCTTCTTTTCCTGCTCTCCAGTGTCTCTTGCAGGCAGGCAAACAACTCCAGCGGCAGCAGCAGCAGCAGGCACCTCAGCTGCAGGACCGCAGCTCTGCTAAACGACAGACGCCTCTCTCCAGTGAGGCAGAGGAGCCCAGGCCACATACCCGGGTCTCTCCCTCCATGCCTCCCACCGTGCCCAGTACTGAGAGTAGAATGGCAGCTGCTGGCTGGAGCTGTGCTGGCCACCCCCTCTCTTCCACCTCTTGCTTTAGCCGTGCTTTCAGCTACAGGGGTGAGGCCAGTGGCTAGAGCAGGTGCCATGATGTCAGGCAGCTCCTTAATGGGCTGGTCCTTGGCAGGACCAGGCAAGGGCAGGAGGGGAGCTGCCTCTAGCTCCAGTTCTGTCCCTGAAGGGGCTCTTCCCCTAGTGCTGGCACTGGCTCATCAGATGGTGCTGGAAGGTCCTGTATTGCTGCACACTGAGCAGGAGCTGAAAAAGAAGAAAGAGTTCCCAATGTCAGTCACTTTCCACTGGAATTTCCACACATGGAAACAACCGCACTAAATGAAAGGAATTCCAACCAGAAAACATTGCTCCCAGAAAGTCTCCAAGACTACAGGCCACCTCACCATGTGCCTGTGCCTAGAGGAAGTCCAGAGGCTCCAGCTGGCCAAGGACAATGCACAGATGTGGCCCTGACATGATAACATGTGAGGCCTGGCCTGGCAGGACTTGCCCTGGGCTGCCCTGTGGTACCTGGGAGCACCTTTGGCCAGAGGCGCCTGGGGTGAGGAATGAGCCAGTGTCAGCATGGTGGGAAAAGGCTCTCATTCTGGGCCCTCCTTAAGGAGGAGCCTCAAGATGTGGGGCCGCAGCATGAGAATTTCATGCTCTCCTGAGCATCTCCCACCAAGGGAGCTGGCTGCGGGGCTGTCCCTATGATGTGGGTGCCTGGTTACCAGAGTTCTAAGTTTCAATGGGGTCTGTCACCAAGGAAGTGAACTCACTTCTTTAAGGTTCAGTATCCTTGACTCCTTCCTTCCATAAAACCTACTCAGAACTCTCTGGGCTGCTGGCCGCTCACCCTCCCCCCAGGTCAGCTCCTTACCTGTACACAGGTAAGCCCACCCAGGGCCTGCTTGTACACCTGCGCCTGATGTGCACCTGGGGCCTAGGAATCCACTTGGGGCCTGTGATCCAACAGGGGTCTAAACTTGATTAAAACACATTTTGATTATTCCTATAGGGGAGAGAAGGCCTTGTAGCAATAAGAAGCACAGTGTCACATGAAATATGCAAAAATGATCAAAATCTTATGGAAGAAAAGTATCAATTTTAATCACTGAAATGTTAACTTTTGATAAATATTTAAGTTTATAAGGAAAAATAAAACCATGATGATTAAACCAAAGTTGCAGGGAATGCTATAGAGTTTCTCGTTTGTGGATTGAACACGGAAATGTCCCACCTACTTATGGTCATAATTTTCTACCTTAATCTTCTTCTTCTTACGATTAATAGAAAAAATACCATGACAATGATAGTGATGATGGTTCAGGCACACAACCGAAGTTTAGTGACAGAAACATCAGGTGCTCCAGTTACAGTGCAGCCGTTCTTATTGGGGTGTGAAAATCAATCTTGTGTTCAGTATACATGGGAAGCAGGAGTACATGTGGGGAGAACTGCATTTCACTGGACTAAGTTTTTTTCCCAGAAAAGCTACAGTTCATCCTTCACTCTCCATTCTGTGATCAAAAACCATGGAACAGAGACGAGCATTTCAACCTGAGACTCAGTTACCATAAATGCACCTGCCCCACCTCCCCACAACCATATATGCCACCTCCCTGTGCTGAGCCAGAAGGGTTCACATATGGCACAGACTGAGGCTGGACTCCATAGTTTTCATCTTCCCAGGTGTCAGGTGTTTTGTGGTCACCTGGAGGAGGGAAGCTCCTGGGTTCCGTCTTCTTCACCAGCAGGGGGCAGCAGAGCTGCAGTCAGAAGTTAGTCTGGGGCTGCCCAGGAGGAGCCTAAGAGGGAGGCCAGCCCTGAAGGCTCAACAGGTGTTTGAGGATCAGTCCTGGGTCTGGAAGCCCAGTAAAGTGCATCCTATCCCCTCAGGCTGCAGTAAACCTGTCCTCAGTGCTACATTCACACAGCCTCACCCAACTGACAGGAGTCAGGGAACAGTGAGGGGCCTCACCTGGGAAATGCAGCTGGAGGTGCCTGGGCCCTGGTGTCAGCCTGGGCAGCTCCCACAGGGCTGGGATTCCCTGGGAGACGCCCCGAGGTCGAGGTGCTCTAGGAGGAGGGCACAGTGTGAGGAAAAAGGATTTCCAAGGGCCCGAGCCCTTCACCTAATATTGCTGCCTGAGCCTCCTGCCCCTCTCAGGGTCTTGTCCCTCTTTGTTCAGCAACAATCTCTGAGCTCACCCACCCAGCACTGCTGGGAGCTTGTGGCAGCTGAGAGCTGTGCCTTCACTGGGAAGTGTGGCTCAGCGCAGAAAACTGCCTCCTCCGGGTTTATGTCCTTCCTCAGCGAGGTTAGGTTTCATGACTACCTGAGGCCAAGTCCTTGGCTCTGCCTCCATATAGGAGGAGCTGAAAATCCTCCCAGCTCCACAGCTCCCTGGAGGAAACACTGAGGCCTCAATGTGCGTCAGGGTCTCCTTCTGCCCAGTGTTGCCTCCCTCACCTCCTTTCACACCCTCTGTGCATGCAATTCCCCTTCTCAGAGTCTGCTTCCGGGGAACCCAAATTAAGATCACCAGCCATCCCCAACATGGGCCATGCGGGACCTCAGGAAGTCACTGTACACTAGAAAGCGCCCGTTTATTCCTAAATTAGCATTGTGAGTATCCAAATGCCCAATGAGATCAGAGTGTTTCTTGCATTTGTATGGAATGCAAAGGGAGCCTGAGTCACCAGGTGCTCTGGGTTCTGAGGGAGAGTTGGAGTCAGATCCCCCCACAGAGAAACCCAGGGCAGGAGGAGCAGCCTCACCCCATGCAGGGACCACAGATGTACCCACAGGGTGAGCTGCAGGATGGACACTGCCCACCTCCACCCTCCACACCCTGGGCAAAAAATCATTCTTTCCACCCCTCCTTCAGCCTATCCAAGTTGACACTTAAAAAGCCACCACAGCCCACGCTTGTCAACAGGAAACCCATTCACATCTCCATCAGCCACACAATCTCCACAGATTCTTCAAAACATAATAGCAATAGCCATGCAAAGTGTATATAAGATGTCTCAAATAATTGTACTTAATTACATATGAAGGTGACACTATTTTTGATATGCTAGGTAAATAAAGTAAATTATTTAACTCATTTTCTTCTTCTCTTTGTATTTCTAATGCGATGACTAGACATCCGGTTTCCCATGAGGCTCACATCATATTGTGAATGGACAGGGCTGGTCTGCACCCCTTCAGGATACAGGGGCTGTGGAGTGACCTGGTGCAGGAAGCCCCGTCTCCATCCATAAGTCATTGGTGTGAACCCAGGGAGAGGCGCTGGTGCAAGAGAGATGAGAACCCAGGGGTGAACCACCTGTTTGTGCAGGAGACTGAGCCTTCACTTTGAGCCAAATAATTTGCTTTCCTATCTTCAATCTTGAACAAGATGGCTCTCTGGTCCTCTTTTTGTTTTCAAGTTTTTGCCCCTTGAAGTTTCAGGCTGTCTGGATCCCAACCAGGGGACACTGAGGAAATCCAGGAGTCTCACACTGACTGTTGTGTTTCATCTGCTGGGGCCATCCCAAACTGCAGCGTACCATTTCCTGTCCTGGTGCTCAAGTAGCTGCTCCATGTACTTGTTGTGGTTTCAGACATGAATCTAGGTGGCAAGACGGGATAGTGTATGTTATAATATTTAAATGGAACCTGAATCCATTAATCTTTATTTTAATATGAAACATTAAAAGAATTTTGTCATAAGCAATGGGGAAACAGGAAAAGATAATAAAATCCTTTTGAGGAAAAAAGCAAAAATGTATTTATTGGATGTGTGTGTGTCTTCAGTGTTGCAGGGTTGAGAGAGGTCAGCTTTAGGTTGCCCTGAGGAAGTGATCTGATGGGAAAAAGCAAAAAAGCAGGAAAGATGCATCTCTGTGACCTGACACGTAAATCACAGTAAAATGGAAACAAATCTTCCAATAAATCAAACATTCACAAAAATATCACTGTGGTGCACACAGAAATGCCTGTTAACAACTTTCCCTTCGTCCTGCCGGCTCATATCCCCATGGATCACCTGTGTGCAGAGTGGACTCTGTGGTCGCCATTTCTCAGGCTGAGAACCAGAGAGTGGGAAGAACAAGCGGCCTGCTCGTGAGTGGGAAGGACAGGATTGAGAGTAGTGGACTCGGGCTCAGGACTGTGGCCCTGGTCAGTCCTCAGTGTTCCCTCCACAGGTCCCTCCCACATGTGCCCGTGTGGATGTGGGTGCACTGCCTGTGGCGGCTGATTTGCTCCAGGGATTCAATGTGGCAGATGCTTTAGCACAAAGCCTGCAGCTGGGGAGACCAGAGACCAACACCCCCTGGCAGAGGGGTCCACAGGATGGGCAGCCCCATTTCCTGACAGTAGAGACAGCCTGGAGGTGGCTGCCAAGCAGAGGGCACTGCAGGGTGTGTCCAGGCCTGGAGGGTAACAAAGACACAGGCACCTCACAGCAGAGACACTGAGGGCCAGGAGCTCACTCAGGAAAGGGATTTCAGCAGATCTTTCTCTCCTGAGGAAATCAGGTACAATAAAAGTAAGTTCCTGCCATCAGAATAGACAAACAGGGACTTTGATCTCCTCAGCTGAGCTCCACTGTCCAGGGAAGCAGAAGCCTCTGAGCCCAGGCCCAGGTGAGGGTGGGGTGAGGAGAGGAGCTCAGGGGGCAGATTTGCATGGAGGCCCCGCCCTCCTCTGAGGCAGAGGGGATAAGACAGGGCTGGGGGCAGGCTCAGTGCTGGGGTCTCAGGAGACAGTGCTGTCGGGAAGTCTCCACCATGGCCTGGGCTCTGCTCCTCCTCACCCTCCTCACTCAAGGCACAGGCGAGTCATCCAGGGAAGGGGCTACAGGGGCCTCTGGGCTGATCCTCGGTCTCCTGCTCCTCAGGCTCACCTGGGCCCAGCACTGACTCACTAGAGTGTGTTTCTCCCTCTTTCCAGGATCCTGGGCTCAGGCTGCCCTGACTCAGCCTCCCTCAGTGTCCAAGTCTCTTGGACAGTCGGTCACCATCTCCTGCGCTGGAACCAGCAGTGGCATTGCTAGTTATAGTGACATCTCCTGGTACCAGCAGCACCCAGGCACAGACCCCAGACTCCTGATTTACCGTGTCAGTAATCGACCCTCAGGGGTCTCTGATCGCTTCTCTGGCTTCAAGTCTGGCAGCACAACCTCCCTGACCATCTCTGGACTCCAGGCTGAGGACGAGGCTATTTATTACTGCTGCTCATATAGGAGTGGAAGCACTTTCCACAGTGGTCCAATTTCATGAGGAACTGAGACCAAAACCTGCCCTGGGTTCTCAGGCTTCCTTTTTGCTCTGAAGATGCTTCCTCACCCAGTGCAAGTGGCTTCCTGCAGTGCGGCCTTGAGAATTCTCCTCTCTCAGCTCCTTCCCTTTCCACTGTGAAATCTGAAAGGAAACCTGCTCTGTGGTTTCTCATCCAGCACAGGGAAAGCTTCCTGTTGCTTGTGTGCTGTGGTCCCTGAATGTGCAACTCTTCCTAGCTCTTCAAATGCAGGGACAGGGACAAGGAGCTGCCTGATTGCTGCAGTCACTGCTTTTTTCAGGGATGTCTTCAACCTAAACACATCACCATCTCCCACACTGTGTGTAGAATTTTAGCCAACTACATTCTAATGGTTATCGCCACAACTTTGATCTTAAATAACAGTGCAGCGAACATCCGTATACAGCCTCCTTTGAGTTCCTGTGTGAATATGACCATAGGATTCATTTCTGAAAGTGAAATGGCTGCGTCAGAAAGATGTGTGTTTGTAATTTTCACCCACTGTTGTCAGATTCCCCTCCAGAGGGGTTCTTCCAATTTACAATGCCAGCCGGAAGTACTTGTTCAGAGTACATTGTTGAAAGTGTAAATTTTTGCCAAGCTATCAGACTGAAAAATGGTACCTTGTTATAGTTTTACTTTTGAGTCTCCTCTTCTGCTTAAGTGTGGGCCCTTTCACAAATAGTTCGGTACATTTTGCTTTTTAAGATTTGGTCAACTTTTTCTTAAATATCCAGATAAGAAGAATTTGAGTCTTTGTGGGCAGGCACTGTTGCTCACGCCTGTAATCCCAGCACTTTGGAATAAAACGACGGGTGAATTGATTGATATCAGGAGTTTGAGATTAGTCTAGGCCACACAGTGAACCCTCATCTCTATTAAAATAAAAAACATAAAAATAAATGTAAAAAACAATTATTTTAGTCTTTGTGGTTCAAGAATCAACTTTGGGGATATTCCATAGGTATGTGTAGCATTATTTACAATGTAACCATTTAAAATGATAAAAAAACAATGGTCAACTCTGGGCCACACAAAAACAAGGCCAGGGATGGCCATAGGATGTGGTTGAACAGCCCCTAGTTTGTAGGTTTATCTGAGGGTTGAAAATTCCACCAGCATATGATCTAGGTGGGGATCTCTCTGTGAGGGTCACTGTATTTCACCTCCTGTATTAGGCTGAGGTCTTCCACTGGATAAGAACATGCTCACATCATATTTGATGGGCTCATGGGTTTGCCCAAGAGAGCCCCGTGTCACAGTCACATAACTTTTATCTGCATTGCTTGCTCTGAGTTTTGGGAGAGCTTTAATGTATCAGGAATAGACTCCTCCTAAGGCAAAAGTCTGAGGGAGAGGGATGGGCAGGTGGGCAAGAAAGCTTGTACCAAAGCTGGAACATCCAGGGCAGGCTCAGAGAGAAGGGTCCTAATATCAGCATTTGACTGAAGCCAATAACAGAAGAGAACATGCAAGTTCTGAGAATAACAAGTAAGTAAATAAATAGTTTAAGTTTTGAATATATTGAATATTGTTATACTGCATGAAAATTCTAGAACAGAATTTAACAATGGGATAAGGAAGAGAGCTTGAGATGTTAAAAGTATAAAGATCCCAAGCCAAGTTGCCAGAAGAACAGGACTTTTTGATGGAAGTATGTTTATGCTGCAAATTACCTTTCCCTATAAAATTATTTTTTAGGAATAAAGAAACATCCCATGGAACATTCTTTTTTTCTACACTCAAGACCACCCTCACCTCACAAGGGAATCTCAATATCAAATAGAAAAAATAATGCACTTTTGTATAACCATTAGGAGACTCTTTATTTGCACAGCAAAATGAGGATGCTTAATGGTAACATTGGAAACAGTAGTTTAATATGCATATGTGATGAATTTTCTTTTGACTATACCATTTCTGTCTGCAATTTATCTTTCTTAATAAGGACATACTCTATTCTTAAAACAATTTAACTTGTGTTATATTTTGTTCTATTTTCTGTATCAGCTTGTTTTTCCCAAACACTGGCAAAAATATGCCATGGCTAATGATTATTAAATTCAACTTATGGATATTTAGATTATTTAAATTATTTCACGAGTGGACAGATGTGATCTTCCCAGATGTAACTCACAGATGTCTCTGATGCTGACTCGCTCTTCTCTTCCAATCTCAGCAAACAAAGTGGGAAAGTTGACATTTCTGAACACCCAGATGACAACAGGAGAGAGGAGGTGAAACCCCCTAAAGCTGTTATCCTTTAAACCCCCAGGATGAATCACCCTGGAGAATCCCCCACACATAAGGCTTCTGTTTCTGTGCAATCCCCCACCCCACAGTTTATGTGTCACAGATAGTGGCACATCCTTACTGCAAGGGGTCGTCTGAATAATGCAGCCCTCAGGAGCTTGGCTTTGAGGGGCAGCCAGGTTTATCCTTGAAGCACACTTCTGTTACCTCCAGCTGTGTGGGTGTCAGCAAGGCATTTAATCTCTCAGAAAACTATCCTTATGAGAGGTAAAAAATCTCTGAGAAAAGAAGTTAGACAAGAATTCATAGTCATTCTTCACTATTGAGGCTGCAGGGATGTCACTTAATCATGTTTGTAAAGTGCATAACATACGGTCTGACACACCCCAGCTGCTCCTGAGTTGGCAGCAATTATTCCCGACATCACTCATGACAATTGGGCCTGGAATGGGAATGGAGGGAAGGCAGTGCAGAGGGTTTCAGAGGGTTAAGAAAAGAGAGACTTTAATAATTTAAAATGAAGGCCTGGGAGTGGAGGCGAGCATCCTGGGACATTCTCCTGCCAACTCTCACAATGTCTCAGAAACTGTTCCAAGGTGAAATCTACTAGAGAGGTAAGGGAGGAGTCTCAGAATCAATGTCATGGACAAGGCAATGGAGAGTCAGTGGGGAAGGAAAAGAGCTGAGCTCATTTGAAGGGTGTTTATTATCTTCTGGCCCTAGAGTCCTTGGCCATCCCTCTATGACCAGGGCCTCAGATAAGCAGAGAGCTTATCTGCTTCTCCCCTCCAACCATAGTTCCTGGTTATCCTGAGCCCAGGTTAGTGCAGCTGTGGCCTTTGCATTCTATGAGCCTATTTGACTCCCCCTTGTGCTCAATTGACTGACCTGGAGGAAACAGTAGGGGGTTCCCCTGCTCTCTGTCCCCAGGGTCCCTTCCTTTCAGTGGCACCAGCCCAGCCCTAATGCCCATCCATCTGTGCCTGCTCAGTCAGGCCTCCATGCAGCCCACTGTAATGGCCACAGGTCAAAAACTGATTGTCAGTCTTGAGCAGATTGCCCTGACTCTTTCTGCAAAACTGAGCATCTCACTCAGCACCAGGACATCACAAGCAAGGCCAGCTGTAGGAAGGCAAGCAGGAGAGTAATGTCCATCAGAGAGCCTGGACAAAACAAAGTAGTTCTGCTGGAACACATTCTGCTGATGTCTCTCAGAATGGTTCAGGTCTCTGCAATTGCAGGCCCAGAGAACAGGACTGCAGGCTGGAAGATGTGCTCCCTTTCTCATGTACACAAAGCAGTGCCATGTGTGCATGTGAGTAAATGCATATGCCTGTGTGTGTGCATGTGTGTAAATGCAAATGCCTGTGTGTGTGTGCATGTGTGTAAATGCATATGCCTGTCTGTTGGTGTGTGTGCCTGTGTGTAAATGCATATGCTGTGTGTGAGTGTGTGTACACGTGCATGTTGGAGTTGCCAGGGAGTGCTGGCAGTGTCAAATGTCCCAGACTCAAAACTTTTCTATTTTTCTCACTTACCTTCTCCCTCAGACGTGCTTCTGGGTTAAATGAGTTCATGTGGGCAAGGCCCACAAACAGGCAAGGCACAGGCCATAGTCACTGCTGAGTCAGTGTCATCAGATATTGTTATGCTTATATAGAACCTTGTCCAGGATGGGCCACATGTACACCCAGGTCTGCTCCTGACAGAGCAGCAGAAGGGGGACTGAGACACCACAATGGCCAGGGCCCTAGCAACACGGAGACACCTTCCCACCCTGTGAGCTTCACAGACAACCGTGGGTATGGGATTCTTGTAATTCCTTTAATATTGTTCAAATAATCCCTCCCCTATGAGATATGAGAAGAATAATCCCACATGAACCAAACCCGTGACTCCCACACTGGAGCCTCCGAGCTCTCTCCAGTCCAGCGTGATAGAGGGAACATTTTTGTGGGGACCTTTGAGAGTGTGGAGAAGGCCTGAGGAAAACAGGTCAGCTATGGTTTCCAGAGTCAAAGCTCTGGGACATCTCCCCATGACCTGTGACCGTGACCTGTTACCTCTGCTTACTCTTTGCACAGATGCTGCCCCCAGGATATGTCCCCACAGGACCCTAAGCCCAGGTGATGCTCCAGGAGATGGGTCTCTGAGAATGAGCCTCAAAGTCTCCTCAACCCACAGGTTCTGTGGTCTCCTACAGACTCAGCTGCCCCCAGGAGAGGTGGGCATGAGACACCTGTCCACCACCTTCTCAGGAGAGACTGGAGCAGACAACAATACAGAGAGAACCAGCAGGAGCCAGGCCAGGTCCCGCATCCAAATCAGCCCTCAATCCCCACAGATGCTCCAGCTCTAACCTGGGGTACAGCCCCCACCTTCTACAGGCTGAAGTGGGCTTCTCAGCATGGCCAGACCATGATGGGGGAGGGCAGTGTGCTTATGAGACACAGTCCTGCTCATGGCTTGTATTCAGTCCCATACCTTATGGAAATGGGAAAAACAGAAAGGACAATGACACTCTGCTCAAAAAAGCACTGAGAAATAGTATTGTATTAATATATCTACAACTTTTTAACTAAGCTAATAAAATATTAACATAGATAGATCATTTTTATAGGGGGATCCCTAAGCCTTAAACATTATATTAAAAATGTGTCAGGTAAAAAGATCATTAAAAGGCCTATGTTTGATTAAAACCTGGAATAACTTACTTTGAGTCTTCTAATCAGCCAATGAGTGCAGGGAGCTGGCTGCCCACCCAGGCCCTGACTGGCTCCATGTCCAGGTAGAGCTGCACTCCCCACAGGCAGCTGGAGGAACTGACGAGGGGAAGCTGTTTGCATCAGGGCCCCAAAAATTTGGCTCAGGATTTTCCCATGTCCCCTTCCCAAGTTCAGACAGGTCCCAGGACACTCAGAAGAGCTCATCACTGTGGGCCTAGGACTTCCTTGGTCCTGCTCTTCTTTCTTCCTTCCCCAGTGGCCTTGACATTGTCACTCCCTCTCACAGGCCCTTCCTTTCCTTGTCAAGTGCACTCCCTGAATTCTCTGCTCCTGGGTCAGCAAAGCTCTAGAACTTCAGGGAAAGCAGGGCTGGGTGACCCAATAGGACCCCAGAAAGCTGGCCCAGGACCAGACACACAGGCAGCAGGGGGGTCCCCACAGGGCTGACTGGTGGGCATCGGGGGTACAGGGGAGTGATGAGGACCAACTCCCCCGAGTGTCTTCAGGGCCAGGTGAACTAGGGAGGGGCTGGGACCTGGTCTGGACCCACGCACTGGTTACTGCATTGACCCAGGAATAGGACAGGAGACTCCTCAGAGCAAGGACTGTGTCTTCCTCATGCTGAATTCCTAAAAAGCTGTCTTACCAGGACAGAGTGGGCTAGGGGGAATATTTCTTGGATGAATGAGCTTCTGTCTCTATTTTATTGCAGGAGTCACCAGCAACCCACGCTGGCCTTCTGTTTGTATCCAGAACCAGTCAAAGCCACCGGTGAGTCCTGCATCCCTCAGTACCAAGCCTCAGTCCCCCTTCAGGACCACCCCCCACCCAGAGAGACACGCAGGGAGCCTCAGGAAGAACCTGAAACCTCCACTACTACATGTAGTGTTTGTATTTCCATCAGGAATCTTGAGAGCCTTATGCCATGTCTTGAGGCAGGAAGGGGCCTCACAGAGAAGAGGAATTTCTTCCGTGAGGTCAGCAGTCCATGAATGAAGAAATCAGGGACTTGAGCAGCAGATTCTGAAGCTACACCTGGACCCAGGAGGCCCCTGAGCCTCCAGCAGCCAGCGTAGAGTGGCCACCAGGGGGCAGCAGAGAGTAACCAGGCAGAAACACTGGGGATGGGTGGGCCTAGCATTTAGGGGAGGCTGACATGCAGGGAGGGTCAGTGACCATGAACTGGGATCCGGAGGGAAAGAAGTTCTTCTTTTCTTAGAGTATTTGTCCTTGACACCTATATTTAAATTCTTCTGACTTCCTGGTTCTCAGATCTGACTCTTGGAGATGATCCCTATTTTTCTGGCACAGATTCAGGCACTTTGCCTCTTCCCATCACCCTGGATCCCATCTCACTCTCACACATACCATCCCATCCTGTATTCACACGTGTCCCACATCCCTGCCCTTGTTCTGGGAGCCCCTATCCTGCAGACACAGCGGTTTCTCCTTCCCTGGCCACCCCTCAACATCCACTGTTCCCGGTCTTGCCCAACTCTGTCCTGGGGCACCTGCCAATTCACATTTCTTGATTTCCTTATGAGGCACAAAATGCTTACTCATTAATCTTTTGTTGACTTAAGTTTTTATCTATTGATACATTTTCCCAGCAACTGAAGACAACTTAGTTATAATAAACATTCATTTCCTGGGTCTTGGAGTTTGCAGCCCCCTCTCATTCTCTCATGAAGCAAAAATTTCCTTCACCTCCTGATCTATCCCTGGTCCTGACAGCACCCTGGGGATACTGAGGCACAGCACATATGACCTGGCACAGAACTCACAGCCAAGGCAGAAACGTACCGGGTCCCATGGATCTTCCAAAACTCTATGTGCCTTTGGCAACCAAGGATTGCATTCTCCTCTGGCACAGAAGAGCTGTGCCCTGGAGTGGGGTCTGCACCTTTCCAAGGCTTGTGCTGTCCCCTGAGGGAGATGAAAAGGATCCCTGCATTGGGCTCTGGATGTGTCTTGGACATGAGCGAGAATGAAGAGGGTCCCTGCATTGGGCTCTGGAATGTGACTTAAAATGCATTTAGGCCTATACCCGACATCTCATATCTGACATAAAATATTTACGACCAGGATATTACTAGAGAAGCAGAAAAAAGCGAATCACCTCCCTCCTGAGCCAGGATGGAATGGAGGAAAGGACAGTGGACCCCAGACAATTCCCCCATCGCCCCGTGCCTCTAACGACCTCTTGAAACACCGCCAACCTTAATCCCATAGGAAGGACTTTATATCCCCTAGATAATAGAGAGAAAGTCACCTCTGAGCGTTTCCACGACCAACCCAGCCAAGGAGCAAGGCTGGGCACAACGTGGTTAAAGATGTGAGCCCAGACCATGGGATCAGTGGGTGAAGGAAAATCGCATGGGCTGAGGGGGTGGGTAAACAGGGGCCACCCCTCCTCTCTCTGTTTCCTTTTGGGCTGAGCCCTTCTCAGGAAACCACAGATCTCCTCCAGCAGCAGCCGCTGACTCTGCTGATTTGCATCATGGGCCACTCTCTCCAGTAAGAGGATAAAAGAAGCCTGGAAGGCACCTGCCCTGTCTGGGTCTCAGGAGGCAGCATTGACGGTGCCTCAGCCATGGCCTGGACCCTTCTCCTCCTCGGCCTCCTCGCTTACTGCACAGGTGCTCCCCCCAGGGTCTCACCAACCTGCCCAGACCAAGGGCTCTGGGTCCAGCGTGGCCCTGACTCTTAGCTCAGGAGGGCCCTGCCTGTGGTGGGCAGGATGCTCATGACCCTGCTGCAGGGTGGGGGCTGTTGGGACTGAACTCCCCGCACACTCTGCTCAAAGGCTTGTGAGAGCCAGAGGGGCTGCACCTGCCAGGAGAGAGTAGTGGGTTTTCCGTTCAAAGGCTCCACGCAACAGGAAAGTCCATGGGCCACTGGCACTGGGGCTGATCGCAGGGGATACCCTGAGGGTTCACAGACTCTCTGGAGCTTGTCCGGACAGCATGGCAAGGGATTTCATAAGACGGATCTTTCACCTGCAAGCCAATCCCTCTCTCTCTCTCTCTCTTTTAACCTTTGCAGGCTCTGCGACCTCCTATGAGCTGACTCAGCCACCCTCGGTGTCAGCGGCCTCAGGACAGACGGCCAGGATCACCTGTGGGGGAGACAACATTGGAAGTAAATATGTGCACTGGTACCAGCAGAAGCCAGCGCAGGCCCCTGTGCAGGTCATCTATGCTGATAGCAAACGGCCCTCAGGGATCCCTGAGCGATTCTCTGGCTCCAACTCAGGGAACACCGCCACCCTGACCATCAGCGGGGTCGAGGCCGGGGATGAGGCTGACTATTACTGTCAGGTGTGGGACAGTAGTAGTGATCATCCCACAGTGACACAGGCAGATGGGGAAGTGGGACAAAAACACCCTCCCAGCCTCTGTCACCCTCTTCCTCCAGCCCCGGGAGGCCTGTGGATAAACCCATGAGTGAATCTGGTCCAGTTCACCTGGATCTGAGCCTTTCGGCCTGCCCTTCCCTCCAGCCGCCTCCAGGAGTCTCTACAGAGTGTACATCAGGCAGAGACATGGCCTGGAAGCGCTAGAATCATCTGGTGACTTGGGGCTGTTGTGTGAGTTAGAGAATGAGGGTCTGGGTGGAAAGACAGACAGATGCAACCTCTGTCCGCTGTCCTGCCCCTGCATGGTCATATGGTGGGCATGAGGCCAACCTTAGACCTGTTGTCTGGATCAGGCCCCACAACTGCTGCCCAGCTCTGCTGAGGTCCTGGCCCCCGGGCTGTGTGGCAGCCTGTGATTCCCAACAGAGCAAACCAGAGGAGGGGACACTGTGAAGTCTGCCCAGATCCCCTCTTCCATGTGACCCACCTGGCACTGCTGAGAAGCCCAGCAGCTCAGAGCTGCACCCTCACTGGGAAGTGCTGTTGTTTGCAGAAAGCTGCCTCAAGTCTATGTCCCTCCTCAGAGGGGTTCGGTTTCATCAACCAAGGTCTCAAGTCCCTGCCTCAATTTAAGATGCCACTGAATGAAGGGCCTCCCAGCTCCAGAGCTCCCTGTGTGGATGCCTGAGGCCTCAGAGGCAACCCCGTCATGAGTCAGGGTCTCCTTCTGCCCAGTGTTGCCTCCCTCACTCCCTTCTAAATCTTCTGTGCGTGGAAATCTCCATCTCAGAGCCGGCTTCCAGTGAACCCCATCTAAGATGGCCAAATGCCTCTACATGGGCCATCAGGGACCTGAGGAGGCCACTATACACTGAACACTCTGGCTTCTGTTCTAAATTTTCAGAGTAAATGATGAAATGCCCAATCTGATGGTTCCTTGAATTTTTATGGAATTTTGAAAAGGGAGCCTGACTTGCCAGGTGCTCTGGGTTGAGGGAGAGCTGGAGTCAGATCTCTCTGCAGGGAACCCCGGGGCAGGCAGAGCAGCCTCACCCCACTCAGGGACCACAGATGGACCCAGAGGGTGAGCTGCCACATCTTCTGCAAATGTCGCTCCTTTCTACCATCCCAACGAGATATGTAGATGTGATGAACTAGGTAAGACATAGCTCACTTGTCACATCAAAAGCCACTGCAGTCCACCTTGGTCAACAGAAGAAAACCCATTCACATCCCCATCAACTACACAGTCCCCAAATCATTGATCTCCAGAAAAATTACAATAACAATAGTCATGAAAACCTATGTAATTTCTCTCATCAATAATTTCATGTTGATAACTTGTGAAAATGGTAGTATTTTGCTTTATTGACAAGAATAAAATATACTATTTAGCCATATTTATTTTTCTTATCTTTTTATATTTAATGTGGTGACGACACCATGCGTCACAGGAGGATTGTATCATACCATTATGGGACAGAGCTGGTCAGGAGTATTTCAGGTGACAGGTGCTGTTGAGTAACCTGGTGCAGGAAGCCCCATCTCCACCAGACAATGGAACTGTGAACCCAGGAAGAGGCACTGGAACAACAGAGAGGAGAAATTGCTTATGTGGAAGACAGTACTCTTGAGCAATGCTCCTGCTCCATTCTACGTGTGCCACCTCCATCTCAATGTGGATCATTTATTGTCCTGACTGAGCACGTACAGGAGGTTTTAATTCCCATGGTAGAGTCTGCTGGATTCTCTGGCCCCAACAGCCAGACACTCACAACCCTGCCTGCACCTGTTGCAGAGCCCCCCTGCTCTGGGCACAGAAAACAATGGGTGATATCATGACAGGGAAGGGAGAAATAATGATGCACGGCAGAAAACGTGTGAATGTGTACGGTTGCCCATCCCACGTGAATGCACATTGATTCTGATCCTATTCTCTGAGGGGAATAGACAAGACCTCAGTATCTGCTTCAATGATGTAACTGTGCACCTGCAACAATAGCATTCTGTTCCAGGAGATCCCCATCTGGCACAGATACTGCAAATGCCACTATTGCCTGTCTGGATCTGTACAAATCCAAATTCATCTTCCAGGATCATTCAACTATTGTAGAGATCAGTTCAGTAAACTGAAAAGGAGGACCCCAGAAGTAATCACACATACTGCATGTGAAAATGATAGTATTTTGATTTACTGACATAAATAAAATATACTATTTAGCCATATTTATTTTTATTTTATTTGTCTCATCTTTTTATATTTAATGTGGTGACTAGACACTAGGGGTCACAGGAGGATCATGTCATACCGTTATGGGACACAGCTGGTCAGGACTCTTTCAGGTGACAGGTGCTGTTGAGTAAGCTGGTGCCGGAAGCCCCATCTCCACCAGACGATGGAAGTGTGAACCCAGGAAGAGGCACTGGAACAACAGAGAAGAACCTGCTTGTGAGGAATACAGTGCCCTTGGGCTCTGCTCCTGCTCCATCCTACCTGTGCCCCATCCATCTCACTATAGATCATTTCCTGCCCTGCCTGAGCTCATGACTGAGGGGATCTGACATGTCTGGCTGCGTGGTCACTGCTGTCTCATGTGGTTCTCGATGTAACAAAGCCCCTAACATAGAAGAGATTGTTTTCAAAAGGAAATAATTCTCTATTGCACATGACATAGACTTGTTGCTAAATCCCATGGGTCTACAGTAGGATTCTCCACTGAAGCCTTGCCTTAAGCACAAAGTTTCAGTTCCTATGTCCAGTTCCTCTATTATGGTAGACTCTACTAGTTTCTCTGGCCCAATAGCAGGACACTCACTCCCCTGCCTGCACCTGCTGCAAAGCCTTTCTGCTCTTGACCCCAAAACACTGGGTGACACAGTTCTCAGACCCATGATTATGGTGTCAGTATTCAGGCCTCGAGGGTCCCTGATGGCTTCTCTGGCTCCAAGTCTAGCAACACAGCCTCCATGACCGTCTGTGGGTTCCAGGCTGAGGATGAGGCTGATTATTACTGCAGCTCACATAGGAGAGGTGGCACTTTCCACAGTGGTCCAAGTTCATGGGGAATTGAGACCCAAACTTGCCCTGGGCTCTCAGGCTCTCCCTTGTTCTGAAGATATTTCCTCACCCTGTGCAAGGGGCTTCTTGCAGCACCGCCTTGAGAATTCCCCTCTCTCAGCTCCTCTCCTTTCTCACAATGAAGTCCAAAAGGAAACGTGCTCTGTGGTTTCTCATTCATGACAGGGACAGCTTCCTGTTGCTTGTGTGTTTTGATCCTTGAATGCACAACTATTTCCAGCTCTTCAAATGCAGGCACACAGTGAAAAGGAGCTGCCTGACTAATGCATTCGCTGCTGTTTTTAGGGATGTTCTTGCCCTAAATGCATCCCCATATCTGACACTGTGCAGACCAACCTGGACAGAAGTCATTACAGGGAGTTTCCCAAAATTGCATCTTACTCAACCCTGTGTCCACCATGCTCTGGAGAAGATGACTCTCCTGGCTGGGCTACTCCTCTGCATCTCTGTTCTGAAGCAGTGACGACCACTGTGAGAAGATCTGAACATGTTTTTGAGGGATTAAGAACAAGAAGAAGCTGTTGTTTTTCTTTTCCTTTCCTTTTTTTTTTTTTTTTTTGAGACAGTGTCTCACTGTTGCCCAGGCTGGAGTGGCACGATCTCAGCTCACTGCAACACCAGCCTCTCAGGTTCAAGCAATTCTCCCTGCCTCAGCCTCCTGAGTAGCTGGGATTACAGGTCTACACCACCACGCTTGGCTAATTTTTGTATATTTAGTAGAGACTGGGTTTCATTATGTTGGCCAGGCTGGGCTTGAACTCCTGACCTCAGGTGATTCACCTGACTCGGCCTCCCAAAAGGGTGGGATTACAGGCGTGAACCACTGCACCTGACCTTTTTTTTTCTGCTCCTCCTTTTTGCCTCAATACCTCAGGTTGCTGAGCTAGAGAGATTTTGAGTGACAGACTCAGTGTTCCCTCAAAATCCCCCTGTCTCACATCGCTGAGGCCCTGTCCTGGGAACTGCGTAAAAGTGGATCATCTCTCTATAGGATGGGAGTTTCCAAAATGGTTCCCCAGGGAAGAGTCAACCTGAGTCCATTCCTTCTTCCTCGTTGATATCAAGAATTTCTAATTTCCATGGGCATCAATACTTCTGTAGCTGAAATCTTTATTAATCTACTAAAGGTCAAAATTCATTTAATAAATACTGAGACATTACCTGCATCCAATATTTAAATTTTATGAGCCAATTGGTAAACATAGCCATGAATATATATATAGCTTAGGCTTCATAAACTTTGATTAAATGGATTTTATGAAAAACAAAGTAAAAACTTTAGTATATGTGTATACTATATCAACATGTTTTGTACCTGAAATATCCACAAGAAAATGTATTTCAAAAGGCTAAACTGTATTTATTGTGTACTTTTGAATAAAAATTGCTTCCTAATAGTTAGCATATTAAGAGAACACGTGTTTGTGATCTTGTCACTTCGGTGCATCTGGAATTGAGAGCAGCTTAGTTTTGTGGTTCTGGCTCTGGGTTGGTCATGAAGTTGCAGCCAAGCTGTCAGGCCAGGCTGCATTCTGAGGCCAGAGCAGGTGGCCAGGCCCAGCCTGAGGGGGCTTCTACTGTCCCTAACCTATTTGGCTGATGTGGAAAAGCTCAAAGGAAAAGGAGAGAGTGAAGTGTAAGGGGCCTGTCCTGGTCCCCCTTGTCAAAGACCATCCCATACATGCACCATTTCTTATTCTTTCTTATTCTTTCCTGGGACATGCTAGGCATAGAGCACTAGCCTGTGTTTTGAGGGTGCCTGAAATAACAATGTGTAATAGTTCTCATTATTTCCTCAAGAAATCTCTGCAGTGGAGCTTTGGCCTTGTGAGGGAAGTACTATAGTCAGCAAGTGGTGAGGGTGGGAAGGTGAATTTGCAGATACCATCTGGAATGACTTCACTTTAGAGTTAAAGCTGGCAGGATATTCCCACATGTCAGATCTGAAAATGTGTGTGTCTGTGTGTGTGTGTCTGTGTGTGTGTGTGCATGTGTGTGTGTGTGTGTGTGTGTGTGTGTTATAGAGAGAGAGAAAAAAAGAGAAAGAGAGAATGAGAACCAGACAGGTACAGAGAGACAATGACAGAGCTGCAATGACAGAGAGAATTAAAAGGGGACGCCAAGAATATTGAGCTGAGAAACTATTAAATGGGAGGTGCCATTAAACAGAATGGGGAAGAGTAAGTTTGAGGAGTGTCAGTGGCTCCGTGTGGACTTACTACTTTTGACATTCCTAACCGATATCCAAATGGAGAAGTCAGACAGTGTTGTGCGTAGTCTAGTGTTATGGTATAGAAGAAAATACCAGAAAATGAATGATACAAAAGTTAGTAAGAAAGCAAAGGTAAGAAACATAAGTCAAACTTCATTTAAATGTCATTGTAGAAACTTGTAATTCTAACACCGAATAAATTCTAGGGCAGGTGGTGGCGTGGTATGGTGTTTTTGGGGTACAAGTCCTGAGTTTCAAAGCTTTGGTTTCTATACCCTTTGGAGATGACCCCTAGCCTCCTCACCCCTGCACACCTGCCAAGAGGAGCCTGTCCTGGGCAGTACCTCAGGGGCAAACAGCCGAGAAGCCCAGTTCAGCACAGACCTCCAAGCCTGGAGGAAGAATCCGCCTCTGGGAACAGGAGGAGCTGCTGGAACCCCTCCTCCCAGGCTTCTTTTCCTGCTCTCCAGCGCCTCTTGCGGGCAGGCAGACAACACCAGCAGCAGCAGTAGCAGCAGCAGCAGCAGCAGGCCCCTAAGCTCCAGGGCTGCAGCTCTGCCAAATGAGAGAAGCCTCTCTCCAGTGAGGCAGAGGAGCCCAGGCCACACACCCGGGTGTCTGCCTCCATGGCTCCCACAGTACCCAGTACTGAGAGCAGAGTAGCAGCTGCTGGCTGGGGCTGTGCTGGCCACCCCCTCTCTTCCACCTCTTGCTCAAGCCATGCTTTCAGCTCCAGGGCTGAGGCCAGTGGCTAGAGCGGGTGCCATGAAGTCAGGCAGCTCCTTAATGGGCTGGTCCTCCACAGGACCAGGGCAGGGGCAGGAGGGCTCTGGTGCTGCCTCTAGCTCCAGTTCTGTCCCTGAAGAAACTACTGGCCACCTCACCATGTGCCTGTGTCTGGTGGAACTCCAGAGGCTCCAACTGGCCAAGGGCAATGCACAGATGTGGTCCAGATGGGAACATTGGTGAGGTCTGGCCTCGTAGAGCCTTCCCTGTCATACCTGGGGGTGCCTTCAGCCACAGGTGCCTGGGATGAGGAATGAGCCTGCGTGGGCATTGTGAGAAAAGGCTCTCACTCCGGGCCCTCCTGAAGCAGGAGCCTCAAGATGTGGGGAGGCAGCACGAGAACATCTTGCTCTCCTGATCATCTCCCACCAAGGGAGCGGGCTGCGGGGCTGTCCCTAGGATGTGGGTGCCTGGTTACCAGAGTTCTAAGTTCTTTGAGGGTCTGTCGCCAAGGAAGTGAAGTCACTTCTTTAAGCTTCCATATCCTTGCCTCCTTCCTTCCATAAGATCTACTCAGAACCCACTGGGCTGCTGGCTGCTCACCCTCCCCCCAGGTCAGCTCCTTACCTCTACACAGGTAAGCCCACCCAGGGCCTGCTTGTACACCTGCGCCTGATGTGCACCTGGGGCCTAGGAATCCACTTGGGGCCTGTGATCCAACAGGGGTCTAAACTTGATTAAAACACATTTTGATTATTCCTATAGAGAAGGAAAGGCCTTCTAGCAATAAGAAGCAGAGTTTCACATCAAATACGTAAAAAATGATCAAAATCTTATGAAGAAAGGTATCAATTTTAATCTCTGAAATGTTAACTTTTTGATAAATATTTAAGTTTATAAGGAAAAATGAAACCATGATGATAAAACTACAGTCCTAGGGAATGCTATAGAGTTTCTCGTGTGTGGATTGAACACAGAAAGGTTCCACCTACTTACGGTCACAATTTTCTACCTTAATCTTCTTGATCTTACGATTAATAGAAAAAATACCATGACAATGATGGTGATGATGGTTCAGGCACACAGCTGAGGTTTACTGATAGAAACATCAGATGCTCCCAGTTACAGTGCAGCTGTTCTTATTGGGGTGTGAAAATCAATCTTGTGTTCAGGATACATGGGAAGCAGGAGTACATGTGGGGAGAACCGCATTTCACTGGACTTAGGTTTTTCACAGAAGAGCTACAGTTTATCCTGCACTCTCCATTCTGTGGTCAAAAACCATGGAACAGAGAAGAGTATTTCAACCTGAGACTCAGTTACTAGAATTGCACCTGCACCTCCCTGCAACCATATATGCCACCTCTCTGTGCTGAACCAGAAGGGTTTGCATATGGCACAGACTGAGGCTGGACCCCATAGTTTTCAGCCTCCCAGGTGTCAGGTGTTCTGAGGTCACCCAGAGGATGGAAGCTCCTGGGTTCCCTCTTCTTGACCAGCAGGGAGCAGCAGAGCTGCAGCCAGAAGAGAGTCTGGGGCTGCCCAGGAGGAGCCTAAGAAGGAGGCCAACCCTGAAGGCTCAAGAGGAGTCCAAGGATCAGTCCTCAGTATGGAAGCCCAGTAAAGTGCATCCTATCCCCTTGAGCTGCAGTAACCCCATCCTGAGTGCTAGATTTATGCAGCGTTCACCCAGGACACTGACAGGAGACGGGAACATGAGGGCCTCACCTGGGAAATGCAGCCAAGGCAACTGGGCCCGGTGTCAGCCTAGGCAGCTCCTACAGGGCTGGGATTCCCCCAAGGTTGGGGTGCTCTAGGAGTGGGACACAGTGTGAGAAGATGGAGATCCCAGGGCCAGAGTCCTTCACCCAGGATGGCTGCCTGAGCCTCCTGCCAATCTCAGGCAGGGTCTTGTCCCTCTCTGTTCAGCAACATTTTGAGGAGCTGAGTCCTCAGTCCTGGGCACTTCAAAAGACTCCCCCACCCCTTCTCCCTCCGCCTTTCCTTCCAGTTCCAGGCATACTCTGGCTCAGGGGGCAGCTCCTGTGCTCAGGGGAGTCTCAGGGGGCTGGGGTGGCGCATTCAGGACCCTGGTTCCTGGATGGGACATCTGCAGCCTCCTTGAGGAGATGATCTCCACAGGGAAGGGGATTCTCACCTGCCTCAGGCCACAGCTCTGGCCACCAGGTGGTCTTTGGCTCATTGACAGGATACACCTCATTGCAGGGACCAGGGACCACCACACTATGGAGCCCACACCCTGTGCAAAGACTGTGTCCCTGGGATTCTCACAGAGACCATGGGGCTTCAAGTTGGATTTCCCATCAGTATTTCATGTAAACTTGAGAAAGCACCAGAAAACCACATTGGATGGAGAACCCTGGTGCTTTTTACCAATTTACATAAAGATTTCATGGGAAAGATAGATAAACAATGGCAGAGCTGAGGATGGCAATGGCTGGTCCACTGTGGGGAAGGGGATGGCCTAGAAGGATCAGTACCATGGGCGAAATGAGACCAGATGTCCTGATGACTCCACATGGGTGAGCGGTTCCTTACATGACTCAACTATTCTCACTGAAATAGGTGACAAGTGTCCTAATGAAACAATCCATCATTTAGATGAAATGACCAGGATGGGACATTTCCTCTAGCCAGGAAGACTGTGGACAAATTCATGAGCAGCGCTGGCCCAGTTCATCTGGATCTGAGACCCTCCAGCCCTCCAGGCAGACTCTGAAGAGGGGGCATCAAGAGTGGATTTAGGACTTAGCTGACCGGGATGTATTGGGGTTTGGGGACTCAGCTGTGACTTAGGGAAATGGGATCTGGTTGAATCATCAGACTGAGGTAGACATCCCTCAGCTGGTCTCTGGATTTCCACAGGTCATGACAAGCCAGTCCTTGGCCTGAATATCCTGGATCAGTCCCCAGAACTGCACAGCTTAAGTCGTGTCATTCTCTGCAGAAAAACCAGTGGAGTGGACACCATGGAATCTGCACAGATTCTTTCTTCTGAGCTCACCCACCCAGCACTGCTGGGAGCTTGTGGCAGCTGAGAGCTGTGTCTTCACTGGGAAGTGTGGCTCAGTTCAGAAAACTGCCTCCTCCGGGTTTATGCCCTTCCTCAGTGAGGTTAGGTTTCATGACTACCTGAGGCCCATATCTCAAGACTCTGCCTCAATATAGGAGGACCTCAAAATCCGCCCAGCTCTACAGCTCCCTGAAGGAAATAATGAGACCTCACTGTCGGTCGGGGTCTCCTTCTGCCCAGTGTTGCCTCCCTCACCTCCTTTCACATCTTCTGTGAATGCAATTCCCCTTCTCAGAGTCTGCTTCCAGGGAACCCAAATTAAGATCACCAGCCATCCCCAACATGGGCCATGCGGGACCTCAGGAGGCCACTGTACACTGGAAACCTTACCCGTTTATTCCTAAATTAGCATTGTGAGTATCCACATGCCGAATGAGATCTGAGTGTTTCTTGCATTTGTATGGAATGCAAAGGGAGCCTGACTCACCAGGTGCTCTGGGTTCGGAGGGAGAGTTGGAGTCACATCTCCCTGCACAGAAACCTGGGGCAGGAGGAGCAGCCTCACCCCATGCAGGGACCACAGATGCACCCACAGGGGGAGCTGCAGGATGGACACTGCCCACCTCCACCCTCCACACCCTGGGCAAAAAATCATTCTTTCCACCCCTCCTTCAGCCTATCCAAGTTGACACTTAAAAAGCCACCACAGCCCACACTTGTCAACAGGAAACCCATTCACATCTCCATCAGCCACACAATCTCCACAGATTCTTCAAAACATAATAACAGTAGCCATGCAAGGTATAGAAAATGTCTCCTAAATAATTGTACTTAGATTACATATGAAAGTGATACTATTTTTGATATGCTAGGTAAACAAAGTATATTATTTAATCACTTTCTTCTCTTTGTATTTCTAATGTGATGACAAGACATTCGGATTCCCATGAGGCTCACATCATATTGTGAATGGACAGTGCCGGTCTGCACCCCTTCAGGTTACAGGGGCTGTGGAGTGACCTGGTGCAGGAAGCCCCGTCTCCATCCATAGGACATCGGTGTGAACCCAGGGAGAGGCGCTGGTATAAGAGATGAGAACCCAGGTGTGAACCACCTGCTTGTGCAGGGGACTGAGCCTTCACTTTGAGCCAAATAAGCTTCTTTTCCTATCTTTAATCCTGAATAAGAGGGCTCTCTGGACCTCTTTTTGTTTTTTGGGCTTGTGCCCCTTCAAGTTTCGGGCTGCCTGGATCCCAGCCTGGGGACACTGAGGAAATCCAGGAGTCTCACACTGACTCTGTTGTATTTCATCTGCTGGGGCCATCCCAAACTGCTGAGTACCATTTCCTTTCCTTGTGCTCAAATAGCCGCTCTGTGCACTTGTCCTGGTTTCAGAGATGAATCTGATGGGAGGACAGGATAGTGTATGTTATATTTAAAAGGAACTTGAATCCATTAATATTTATTTTAAGATGAAACATTAAAAGAATTTTGTCATAGGCAATGGGGAAAGAGGAAAGATATTAAAATTATTTTGAGGAAAAAAACAATAAAGTATTTATGGAGTGTCTGTGTGTGTCTTCAGCATTGCCGGGTGGAGAGAGGTCAGCTTTAGGTTGCTCTGAGGATGTGCTCCGATGGGGGAAACCAAGAAAGAGGAAAGATGCATTTCTGTGACCTGACACATAAATCACAGTAAAATGGAAACAAATCTTTCAATAAATCAAACATTCACAATAAATACCACCCTGGTGCACACAGAAATGCCTGTTAACAACTTTCCCTTCGTCCTGCCGGCTCATATCCCCATAGATCACCTGTGTGCAGAGTGGACTCTGTGGTCCCCATTTCTCAGGCTGAGAACTAGAGGCTGGGAAGGACAAGTCACCTGCTCATGAGTGGGAAGGGTAGGATTGGGGGCAGAGGACTCAGGCTCAGGACTGCGGCCCTGGTCGGTGCTCCTGTTCCCTCCACAGAGTCCCTCCTACATGTGCCGTGTGGATGTGGGTGCACTGCCTGGGGTGGCTGATGTGCTCCAGGGATTCAATGTGACAGATGCTTCAGCACAAAGCTTGTGGGTGGGGATGGGATGAAGCTGCAGCTGGGGAGATTAGAGACCAACGCCCCCTGGCAGAGGGGTCCACAGGATGGGCAGTCCCATTTCCTGACAGTAGAGACAGCCTGCAAGTGGGTGCCAAGCAGAGGGCACTGCACGGTGTGCCCAGGCCTGGAGGGTCACAGAGATACAGTCACCACACAACAGAGACCCTGAGGGCCAGGAGCTCACTCAAGAAAGGGATTTCAGCAGATCTTTCTCTCCTGAGCAAATCACGTATGAAATAATTAAGATCCTGCCATCAGAATAGACAAACAAGGATTTTCATCTCCTCAGCTGAGCCCCGGTGTCCAGGGAAACAGAAGCTCTGAG